AAATGGCAAAACTTTTAGAATTAAGAGCAGGTATTGGAAGCAGAATTTAGACTGCATCAGGTGGTAAAATGCCTAGCGCTAGCTCTGTGTACGATGCATTAAGACATATTAGATGAATCTTTTGAATTGTCAGTTTTCAATTTCTTTATTAATAAAAAATTCCTTTCTATAATGCCTGTCCATATGATAAGATTAGAAGTACTTTGATATTTTCCATGCTTGTGTCTAGTGAAAAGTAGAGAAAATAAAGGGAAGATAAAAATGTTAATAAAGCGATTCTAGAATCAGAAGTAAAACATTCAACTATTATGTTTTCATTGTTCTTCCAAATCTTCTCAAAAATGTAAGAAACTGCGTGTTACTACCATGGAGACATTTTTCAGGAATCTTTTAGAATCGTGAGTCTCTAAATTTGCCTTAAAATCTTTCTAAACTTTCCAAGTTTCAATGTCTAAAATCCTAAAGAAAAATTACCCCTACCAATTCTGTAACAGAAAAAAGTAAGAAATGTTTTTTAAAAAAATCAGAGGAAAAAAGTGAGAAATTAATTTTATAGAGAAAACTGATGCATTTCCGAGAATTCTGATCATTCTGAGAAGTGAGAAAAATTCTTACAATGTAAAAATTAAAAAGACATTTTTAATTAATTACACAGCTATTTTGCTTTTGCTAAAAACTGTTTTGTACACTGTGCTTTATAGCATTATTCCTTGCTTATTTTTCAGATTCAAAAACTTGTATAAAATGTGGCCAAAATGGAACTTTATAATATGAGTGAAAAATAAAAATGCTTTATTTTAATGTTATTTCTTAAATATAATCCCAATATATTACCATTATTTTAATGAAATTTATCAATGTTAGAATATTCTAAAAAAATCGTCAAAAAATTCCCAGATCTCGGAATTAAAATTTTTCTATAGAAACTGATCTTATAATCGCCAAAATGTTGATAATCACCAAATTTAGAACCGGTTAATAAAAGAATTCACATCCTCAAACGCAAAAAGTTGTGTGAGAGCTCTTCATTACAAAAAATGAAATAATTTTTAAATGCATATGTTTCACTTCTTGCTCAGAAACTCGAGTATCCCACCATTATTTATATTACAAATAGGAACATATTAGAACTGATGAACCTATTCAAAAAATAGCCATACTTGTCAGTGAATTGCCAAAAGTATTCCTGCAAAATGCTAATTCACACTCAAAATGGCAGTCGTAAAAACAGACAGAAATTTCAGATGATTAAAATTAAGGACCTTCTGCCGATTTTGTTCAAAATTAAGGACTTTTAAGGACCAAAAATCGATTCTAAAAAACTTAAGGACCGTACGAACCCTGTTTACAAAATCTGTTAATTGGAAAATTTCACCTTTCTTTTGCTATAACTGAAAACCTTTAAAATTAGCGGCTATCATCATCAAATTTAGTTATCCTTCACTATACATATTTGGCTATGCATCATGAGCTTGGCGACTAACGACAAGTTGTTCCGTTAAAAATTTTATCTTGCTTCTATCACGCACTGAGACAATTAAGCCCGGATTGTATTAGTTTAGTTATTTATTATACTTATGTCTATTTCTTGCCCTTGCTTAAGGTTTATCAGAGTTCTGAATAAATAAAGTTTCACATATACCTATTGAGGGCCGGTGCTAGATATCTTACCGGCTGATGCAGTCTCTGTGGGTCCTAAACTCTGCGACTCAGTGTGGCCATACTAGCCCTGGCACTGGTTCTGGGTTTATGTGAATAACAAATCAGTTATTCTTAATTCAAATCGCCCTAAATGTAATCTTTAGGTCTATGAGCATCATCAACAAAATCTATTCTTAGCATATGGAAAGAAAGTTTTTGTAAATTTTTCCTAGTCAACATTTTTTAGTGCTTTAACTTAAATCTGAAATTATTGCCAAGCGTAATGTCAATATAAAAGGTTACCATACTTCTTTATTATTCAATTACTACCATAAAAAATTGTTTAGGCATCACTACATGAGTCATTGCAGACGTTGTCATGTTTTGATAAACATGCAGTGATGAAAGAAAAGTATGATAAATAATGATTTGCGAGGTTGGCGTCAGATCAACGATGTATCTATGTGGAATGTTTGGGTTTGAAATGTGTGCCAAGTAAATATGCAGCAACTCAGCCAAATTACTGATCGTACAAATTTATGCTAAAATGATTGTTTCTTCAATAGCAAGGTATTTTACTTAGTGTCGAAGTGAAATTAAGAGTCTGGAGTCTCCGGATGTTTTATTATACAATTATACGCAGAGGGGAGAATCAAATGTGCATGCGTAAAGCCTACGAGAAGAACTCTGGTTTTGAGGTCCGGATTACAGATCATTCTGGATAATGGACGTCCGAATTTTGGACTTAGTACTGGATTTGCATAATTCTTCAGCGGTATAATCAGTGCCTTTGCTTCAATACCTTTTGTAAAAATAGACATGATTGACAAATTGTCTTCATTTTGCACATGAGTACATACTGTAGTGCTATTTCTTTCTCTACAGCTATTTTTCAGCATAAATCACTATGAAATAGAGAAAATAAGCATTTTAAACACCTGCTTTCCATATGGAAATGCCACTATTTTGAAAGAAATGCACAGAAACTGTTTTGATTTAGGTAGGCGAAATTCGATTTCACAGACTATCGTTTTGGGCAACGTGTTTAGCTTAAAGAAAATTGATTGAAAAGCTCATCCACATTTATTTGTATCAGTCACTAAAGAATCAACTCAGACAGGGGTTTTTTTATGAGACCATTGCATTTCACCTTAACTCAATGTACAAAGTTAACGGTACACAGTTCCCTCTCAAGCTCAATGAAAGAGATGCACATCAGTGCTTTTTTTTTTTTCACAGCCAATGTATTCTTTAATGCTAGGACCATCAGAACATAAATTACATCACAGCATCACCACTAATGATAAATTATACTTTTAGAGAAAAGCATAGGAAAGCAAATCCTACTATGTCAGTAATACTTTGAACCAAGGAAAAACTGCATCCTTGTTTCAACTGCATTGCAAGAGACTTACACATGTTTGATAAGGCTGCAAATATATAATCAGTTATGAAACTCTTGAAAACAGCAACAGCACAGGCACTGAAGAACTTTACATTAAGCAATTAACCCTAGTTCAAGAGGAAAATCCAGATGTCATGACTCAACACTGCCATAGCATGATTTTTTTCACATCATAACACTATGCTAATTGGAAATCCCAACATACCTACAGCATTTTCCATGATCTAGTACTTACAGATTATCCTCCCCCTCCAGAAATCATCCAAACTAATGATTACTGTCAAAACGAATAAGCAAAATAATTTTCATATCTTCATGACAGTCTGCAAAGCTTTTCATTCAAAACAATGCCAGTTAAAACCCTCAAATTTTCTTTGAATGCATTACTTCTTGGCAGACAGACATAGCAGGCTTGCCATTATTAAAGAATCGACAACAAGTTAACCGACAATGCTTAAAAACTTATTGTATAATGTAAAGTAGTATAATTTTTTAACAGAAAATGTAACAACACTTCTGTGTTCCATTTTATAAACTTTTCATCAACCATATCTTGTGAAATGCAGACGAAGCACTACTGCAGCCAGAATCAAAACATGCATAGAGAGGCCTAATGAACTATTTTTACAAATTCAGATAACACTTCAAGATGAAGATGTACTTACTTAATTTGAGCATAAAAGCCAGGCAACAAAGGTTCTTAACAAAAACTTAAATTTCTACATTATTAAAAATTACAAGAGATTCTTGTTATTTATGACACAAAGACAATGTTCATTTCCTGATCCTATTGGCACACAGGTCCCATATCATTAGTGAGCAGGATAACAAGATGAGAAGTACTGTTATAGAGTTAAAAAAAAAAAAAAAAAAAAAAAAAAAAAAAAAAAAAAAAAAAAAAAAAAAAAAAAAAAAAAAAAAAAAAAAAAAAAAAAAAAAAAAAACATTGATGATGAACTAGAGATGCACAAATTCAAAGTTAAACATAAAACTGAATGCATTGTTTTGCAAACAGTAAAGCTTTTTTTTAACCTTATATCTTTCTTTAGAAGTAGCCTTTAATTATAAATATCTAAGATATCCTCAGTGATTAATTAATGAATTATAATTTAACTTTTCTCGACATTCCTATTAAAATCACAGTTCTTCAGACAGAAGCTCTGCACAGAGCAAAATTTTTACTAACTGTTACATTTCAATACTATGCAATTAATACAAATTACTGCTTAATTACTGCATATGAGATATTAGATACAAATTGTAACGTCACCAACCACACTTTCACCAAACAACATTTCCTTTTTGAGGTAAAGCACACGTATCCAGATTATGAAACAATTTTATTATTCATACTTAATAATGATATCACATATGTTATATATGTTTTTATAATTTTAGACAAATAGTTATGAACTATTCGTCTAAAATTATAAAAATATGATTATAAATCCATACTTGCAGCCATTCCAGCATGTCCAAGTTGCATATTCTTTCAAGATATACCATTGCACATATCTTGGTAGGAAGCTGTACATGTTTTGTGAGGTTCATTACTGCAAATGCTTTGACAGTCTTTAATCATTACCTTCTGTTTCCATACGGTACAAATTTTCATAAATAATTTGATGCGATGAAATAAATAAAATTTATTATACATTTTAAGTCAATGCCTACAGATGAAATTCCAATGATATTTAATTTACCATAGTTGCAAGGGTTGATGGGGCACTGAACCAAAGAAAAATCTCTTGAAAAATAAGAACTCAGGAAAAAAAAAAAAAAAAAAAAAAAAAAAACACCAGAGAGAGAGAGAGAGAGAGAGAACTTAAGTTCTAGATGCTAAACTAAAATCACAAGCTGCAAAAAAGACAAACTTATTCAACAGATTAGGACCTAATAAATATCGAGAGGGGAAACATTTTAATGAAAAATAAATAAACAAATCTTATTTTTAAAACATATTCGAGAATATGTAAACAAATTAATTAGCTTCTGTATAAATGAAGAGATATTACATATGTAGTTGAAGATGAAGGCACTGAAGGAGCTGCTGAAGTTGATCCTGAAGTTGGAGCAAACATCCAATTTACTTTCTTTCCTTTTTTAGCTTTGAACAGTTGCTACAGAAATGAAAAACATGCATAAGCAAAGATTCTTTGGCATTTCAAAATACTTATATAAAATACAATAACTAATACACAACCAGTTATTTATATGAAATATAGGGTTGCCACTCAAACAGGAGAATGAAGTTCCCTGATTTTTCCAGGTTTCCCACATGTTTATTAAGATAATTCCAGTCTAGCCATGTAGAACACATTGGGCTGTGCTGAGTAAATTAATTATGGTACGACTTGAAAACATGAAAATTTGTTAATTACATATGATTTTGATTAAATAAAACTTAACTTTTGAATCTGAAGCATTACTATTACAACTACAATGGAAGTTGTTCTTTTCAGCAACTTTCAGATTAAGTATTTGCAAAACTAAGAAAACTTGTTATATAATATTTACATGCTAAATCAACATTATTTTCAGCAATCAATTGTATCACAAAATTTGCTAAGTCCAAATAAATTCCCTTTTTAATTACATGATAAGAGCATATAATACCAGAAGTGATTGTGATTATGACAAATCCTCGAAGGCTATCTCTCTATGGGAAGGTGTGCCTACATGGAGGACTTTCTCAGGGAAACTGGCCCATATACAAGTTACACATGGGGAAAACCATAAAAACGCCTATGCAGCTAGCCTGTTTACATGATTCAAACCTTGGACCAAACTACTAGTGTTCAGCGACTTTACCGCTCGGTCGCTGGTGGAGCTAAACACCAGAAGTAATTACTAGCATCTAAAATATCTGCAGTCATTGACACTGAAATACATTTATAGTAAAATGTCAGCACAAATAAAATTAGTTAAAAGTATAATTTTAAAATTAATTTTAAGCCTAAAAACATACATTTACAAAAGAAATTAAGTACTTAAAATTCATTTCACCTAAAAAATAAACAAAACTAGAAATGAAATTCATTGATTTTTAATGCTCTGTTTAAACTTTTATGCACTGGATTTTTTCCACCATTAACTGTGATAAAGTTATGTCATGAATGACAGCTCTATTGTTTTAAAAAGTATTACAAATAAATTTCGAAATGGAGGTTTTTTAATAGGATTAATATATAATTACCAAACAATCACCTTTGTAACAATTCTTAAGGGTAAAAAAACAGTCTCTTTTAAGAAGTCAAAAGATTTTTTATGACAAACTCTTAATATAAGTTGCTGACTTAAGCTGCTTTTAGGTGAACAATTAATTTGCATACATAATGCAAATTAAATGTAATTTCTGATCAGAACTGAAGAAAAAAAAGTATATTATCAGTGCAAGAAATTTATCTGGAAATATATTTTAATCGCCAAAGAGGGCATAAATCTTTCCTGATGTATACTTCTTGTTCTTGGATCTGGCAATGCCAGTTGAATGCGCATTAGACTTGAATAAACTTGGAAGTTTGAAATCCGATTTAAATGTTCATCTACTTGATGAAATTGTGTGCAATTTGAATAAAATAATGAATCTTGAACCAGGATAACATGAAACCTTGATGGTTCTATTAAATTATTTTTCAATCAGTATTTAAAAAAATTAGTCATAGAAAAATTTCTAATAAAAAATTACCACAGAACTAGATTTGTTGTTTTAATTCTGCAATCTGCGAGTTAAAAACACCTCTGCTTAATTTTTGTTTTTAATATTCCAAAATTTTAACCTGTGCTTGCTCTTTCCTTTTATCTAATAATTACTTTTAAGCTGCACTACTACACAGCTTTTTGTCTTCAAGTGCTTGACGATATGCATCACACGCAGATCTGGCATATCATAACATAACAGGAGTTATATTAATATTCATCACACCTCTATTTACTTGTATGGCATCAAAACCAGTTTGCACTGCTGTTAAAGAATTTTCCTGAAAGTTTTCCACCAATATATCATCAAGCTATACTTAAATGGGATTTCTTTCAACTGGTTTCAAAGCTTAAAATCTGAGCTTGCTCAAAAACAGTTGAACACTGAGATCTGATCTCTCTTTTCTTTACAACAGACACTCCACTTTTAGCTAAACTTGCACCAGCAGCAATACCTACATCTATATCTGCAACATTAGAATAAATGGTTTGATTCAGAATATCTATTTTTGTTAGTTTTTCCGCCCTTTTCCCCTCTTGCAGTAAATCTCATTTGAGAAATTTTAAGAAAAGCTGATTTAGCATACTACAGAAAATTGTGTACAGAAAGGGGCATATAGAATCAGCTATCTGAAATGATTTTAGAAACGGATGTAGAACTTCCAAAACAGAAATTACAAAGGAAAAAAAAAAAAAAAAAAAAAAAAAAAAAAAAGAGAGAGAGAGAGATTTTGCTGAAATAAGCTTATCTTTAAAAGCTTCTCCCAGTCTTTGTAAGTTTGTATGATTCTCTATACTTTTTCACATCAGGAAAACTATCAATAGATTTCACTAATTTTAACAGAAAAGTCATATAATTAGTGATGACAATATAATATCCACATCAAGCAGGAGTATTCTAAATTCTAAAACACTTTGTGCATGTCTTCAAAACTTAGATTACAGTCAGCAGCTCTTTAAAGGCACCATGAGAGCCATGCAAACAACAGGGCCCAGTATCTAATACATGACAATCATTTTTATTTGCTAAATTTTCTATCAAATCTCTAAGCAATTCTTTTTTTATCTAGTTCTGAGGTTCTCTTAAAAAGAAAAAATCTTAGAAGGTCACTGGCAGTAGCATGTACCCAAAAATTGACATGAGGTATCTTGTGCTCACTTTATTCCTCATATTGTCCCGTAACGTAACAAAAAGGTCTATTTGAGTTCTCAGGACAATTCCATTTAAAGCTTTATTGAAGAACATTATGAATTTGATGTTCTTAAGCATCAGAGATGAGCATCTTTTTGAAGTATGGGGCTAAACCAAATGACACTAAACATGACAATTCTGTACATCCTATGGTCATAGCTTTAGCTTTATTGCCGCCATCAAGCATTTTCTGAAACAGAAGTGCAGCATTATTAAACGCATTAATACGTGAACAAACAAGTTTCATAGATCATGGTAATTCTGCAGCTAACACTTTATCTTCAGTTATGAAAAGTTTAAATTTGATGATTCAGCAATTGATGCTGGAGACTGCTGTGCTTCAGAACTGTTTTTAGCTGTAGATTTTTTTAAAAAAATTTATTTTCATAGAAGTAACTTTCTTATGTTTTAAACTGTTTGTGATTGCTTTTCTTCCCATGTTATTAACCCTTTGCACTCGGGGCCTTTTTCACATGCACACCAGCAACTTGAGACCTTTTGCAGCCTTTTTAACACATTTTTTAACAGTAACTTAAAATCATTACACACAAATTAATGTATAGAATTTTTATATTTTAACATTTTGTATATCTTTACATCTTTATAAACATATTAATTTTTCTGTGTATGATATTTCATCTAACAATTCTTAAGATGTGTGCCCGACTTGTTGGGGAAAGTATTACAATATGTTGTTTGATGCCTTTTTTTCAAGTTCATGTCTCTGAGGACAGACTTTATGATAGAAAAGATTTCAGAAAAGAAAATCTTATCTCCATTTAAAGGGGGTATCATTTTATACTTCATAAGGTTATACAGAAAGAGCGCAAGAAACGGGTTAAAAAAAAACTACACGTAAACAGTTATTGCCGCATATCAAACTAAGTGGTGAGCGAGAGTCACCTTTCAAGTTGCAGCATCAAATCACATGGTGAGTGAGAGTCACCTTTCGAGTGCAGAAGGTTAAGCATTAAAAATGTCTTTTTTTGCAAACATTTTACAGCTAAAGGAGAGAAAGAAATTTATTTAAGAATATTTAAAAATAAACTTAAGTATTTAATATTTATTTAGCAGCATTCATAAGTAAAAAATATGTGTACTAAATTTCGTGATGGTATATCATTATACTGATAGAATGTTTCACTAGTATGTCGGAGAAAATTGCCTGAATTTTGAAAACATAATTAATAAATAAATTTAGAAGGAAGGAAGTACACCAAATGATATGAGTAACACTGACATATCAATAGTATTTTGGTGAATATAGATTTATTAAATAGTTGGCCTACATGGTTATTATTTTTTTAAAAATTGTTATTGTAAAATGTCAAATGAGGCATTTATTAAAAAAAAAAAAAAAAAAAAAGATTTTATTTTGTACAAGAATGGGGGGGGGAAGGGATGAAAAAAATCAGAAATTTGAAGTGGAAGAAGGAATTATTACTTATTTTTCTATGTGAAGTGTATAAAAAAGGGGGGCAAACAATATTATACTTAATATGTTGGTTTCTGAATTTCACTCTGAGATCTGCTGCCATTTGTTGCTTGAAAATAAAATTTTAAATGCCAGTTATCTAAAATCAAAACAAAGAAAAATTAAGTTCAGAACAAATTAATATTTCGGCATTTACTAAACACAGAATCTCATTTGTGTAGTTTTAAAAGTCTCATAATCATGCTATTAATAATTATGATGCATATTTAATAATGTGTAAAAGACAGCAAAGTTTCACTTACCAAATTTCTTTAATTGGAGATGACAACAGAAAATAAGCTCTCTGAACCAAGAGGTAGAATTCTGTTTCGTTCAACATGAACAAATTTCTTGTTCTTTGCAAGAACACACAATTCACGCTCTCTGTATTTGGAAGCCAAAGATGCTAGAAACTTACTTTGCGTTTGTGAAAGACAATCCGATTGGTGCCACAAAAACTGGATCTACATCAAATTATGTATTGTGTTGGAATGATGCTTACACAATACATAATTTGTCAAAAAAGTTATCTGCGTTGGCGCAAAAATCATCTTTTTGGGGATCTCCGTACCCCCGATAGAAAATCGGGGTAGATTCCCCGATTTTTCAGATTTTGGTTAAAATATTGAAATTCAGTAAGTTTTCTTGACAGTTTTCGAATTTCCTAACTTTTCCTGGTTTTTCAGTTAGCGTGGCAACCCTGGTAATAGCAAAAGATTTTTTTAAAAAATACTGTCACATAAAAGGAATATTCAGTTCATGAACAGTTAAACTGACGGAAAACAAAATCAATATAAAACTTGCATATTGCAAATGCTAAGAAATATCATTAGAAAGCAAAAAGCAGACATCTGTTAAGTAACACAAACATTGTTCTTAAATATTACCTGCAAATAATTTCAAGCAGCACACTGAAATCAAATGCCTCAGAATTCCAAATCTAGACGTTACCTTCTAAGGATGTTATCAGTTTACAGAAGTTACAGATCTTAAGTCAAATCAAAATCTGTTTAAACTCTCCACAAAATAAATGGCATGGTGATTATTACAGCAAACGTCAGTGTCATCTCCATTCAATAGTCAGCCTAACCATCAGCTCCAAAATCTGTCTGAAGCAACACAGCCATTATCCATTCCCCGAAAGGTGTAGTAGGCAATGACCTTTTTCAGTATGGGCAGGGATGGAGAGAATACAGTTGAACCGCATTTACTGTGTTACTGACAGAATGCGATGGAAATCAAGAACAGGATTTGTGGATAATTTTTCCTTAGAAGCTGATGCCTCTTGCATATAGACTGCAATAAGCACAAAGACGCTTCTTAAGGGATTCTACTTGTATATTCCTTCAATATTAAGCATAAATATATTTCTTGTGATGCATCAGAATTACAGGAGTAGTTAATTTTTTTGATAAAGTATGGATCATTAAAGACTGTAATAATAATATATTTTCATTAGTTGCTGATAAATTTTCTTGCAACATTACAGGTTATTTCCTACTTACTTCTTTCAGGTTTTCATTTTCCCTGTTTAGAGTGTCAAACTGCTTGGCTACTTGACTTAATCTAGATATTTCTTGAGCCTGAGAAGAAAGAGCAATCAAAATATATTTTTATTAAGAGCATTCAATAGAGGACTTTCCAATTAAAATTTTCTCAGATCTTTGGTTTCATTTAACTGTACAAGGTTGAGCATTCAGATGGAAGAGAATGGCATTAAATTTTCAAGTCATTTTGACTTAGCCAGTTACTGGAATACCTGCCATAATGTTGTGCATTAATTATAACACAGTGTTACATAATGACAATAAATCGTGTTTCTCAATCACCGAAAAATACTAATATCACTTTTCTTGCACTATAGTCTGTTAGTTTAGAAATGCCATTTCAGGGTCATTTCTCCCCTGTCCTGTTTACCTCGCAGTAACAGAAAGGAATTCTCTTCCATGGCACTTTTTGCAAACAATTGCACAGCCATATGACCCATCTTTTGATTCTCAGTTCAGTTATGATGCACTTAATAGGCATACACTTTACAAGCTTCAACACTTAGGTTGACAACAATTTTTTCTATTGTTATATGCCAGTCTTTCTAGATGAACTCATTCACTTTTGCAGTAATGGCATTTGTGATGCATAATATTAATTGTCGTCTGCCAAAATGACCATCATTCTCTAAAATGCATAATTTTTTCATCTTTGCAAGTGATGTGCAGTGTTATTTGTACATCCTTGCAATCTGCAGAATTTCACTACCATTAATCCGCTGTACTGTATGCACATAGTTGGTCTATTATCTTTGTGTTTCATGTAAATTTACAACAACCTTCCATGAATGAGTGAGGTTTTCCCTTCCAAACTGTATAAACCTTAGACAATGTTAAATCTGTAATTTCATTGTGACACTTTCTTTGTACGTTTTGGCAATACTATTACATTCTCGTGTTTATATTATACGAATGTGCTTCAGCAGCATGTGTCACCTATGATTCTGTTGTTACTTTTATTGTATTTTAAACTTAAATTTATTTAGACCAGTAATGTGAATAAAAGTAACAACAAAATCACACATTCCTGGTAGCACAGCAGGATGATTTTGTTGTTATTTTTGCTCTATTTCAAGCTTAAATAAACTTATTTAAACCAATAACTTGGGCAGGTTATGGGCCCAGTTTAACACAAAGTAACTATTTATAAACATATGCAGATCCATCACATTCTCAGTTTAGAATTCAGAAATTGGAAGTTAGCATGTCATCTATAAACAAATTCAACAGACAGCATTATTCACAATAAAGATTTCAAATTATTTGTGCTCTCAAGGCAAAAAGAGTATTTCCTGTCATCAACAGAATTAAGATAAAGCCAGAAAATGATGAAGTGGCAACAGCAAAATGGGGAAAAGATGTGATTGCAATGTTTACAGTATTATCTGCAATGGAATTTTCACAAGTTATGCTTAGACAGAATTGTTCATCAAATGAAATGCTTAAAAAATTGGACCATCTTTAAATTGAAATCTGACTTTAACAAAATGTTGCTGTTTTGCAAATTTCATCAGCTGAAAACTGAATGCAATGAAACAATAGTGCAATATATTGCAAAAATTGAAAATCTTGCTCATCAAACCAGACTCTGGTAAAAACATCACCGATGCAACTATAATTATGAAAATTTTAGGAACATTACCTCTGAAATATAAAAATTTCTGACAAGCCTGGTTAACTATTGATGACAGTAAACAAAACTTTTCAAATCTGACCGCACGACTCGTTGATGAAGAAACATTTTTATCGCAATCTAAGAAAAGTGAGTCAGCATTTTCTGCTGTTAATCGCAATAAATTTTAACAAAAATGAAAATATATGTGAGATTCAGACAGTGAGATCAAATCTAAAAATAATAACTGGAACATAGATAAAACGAAACTAACGTGTCACATCTGCCTAAGAAAGAATATTATTCTCAAGAATGCCATTCCAAGCTGTATGGAAAAGAAACTGGTATTCAAGAAGGAATGACAACAAATTACGGTGCATTTAGCAGCGAAACAGAGCAAAGTGTAGAGAGAAGTGATGAGTAGTGGTACATCTGTTTATATGTGCTACAATCTCAGCTACTTTGACAGCTGCAATGAGAAAAGTGAAAATCAAACTATCCATCTTGGCAACAATTTAGAATTACCCATTAAAAGAAAAGAGGTAAAAATCCAGGAGCTTTTCACGGTAAATGACAGGAAGGAGAAATATATATTCTGTATGTTTCAGATTAAAAAGAAAAATCTCTTTGAAGGGGGTTATTAGAGGTAAAGGAATGAAGATTATGGCATGAAAGAGCAGGACATGTAAACTAGAGAACTCTTTGTGAACTGAGTGATAAAGGACTAAGTGAAAAGCTAGTTGTATCAAACAAAGATAAATTTTTTTTGCGAAGACTTCCAGTATGGTAAGCAACACAGTATTTCCATTTAGCTCCAAAGAATATAAAGCTACTAAACCAGCAGAATCAATATACAGTGACATTTATGGTCCTATGTCTGCACAGTCAGTAAGTGGAGCAAATTCTTTCATATTTATGAAAGATGATTACAGCAATTTAGAACAATTTCTTTCCTTAAACACAAAAATGATGCTTTAGAATCAGTCAAAAACTTTTGTACAGCTATGTGAAAATAAATTTGGTCAAGTTAAAGCACTTACAGTTGACAATGGAACTGAATACATTAATTCGCATTTCAGTGATTTTCCAAACAAGAGGTATTCAGTTAGAAACAATAGCTCCTTATACTTTATTAGAAAAATGGTAGATCTGAAAGGAACATGCACACAGTTATGGAAAATGATTGATCCATGACTTATTTCCAATAGACTGCTTTTGTATCTGTGGGTAGACGCTGTGAATAGAGCTGTCTATATTTTGAGCAGAATTCCTACAACTCAAGCTTCAAGTGTAACTCCATATCAGCTATGGACTGGAAATTCTTAAGCATTTAAAGGTTTTTGGTCTAGAAGCCCACGTCCTATATAATATAAAACAAACTAACACACAAAAACAAGATGATTTTTATTAGATATGAGAAAGAATCTAAGCATAACCGTCTTTTTAATCCAGTCACTAAAACCACCACAGTGTCAAAAAATTTATTTTTAATGAGGAGAATACTAAGTCAAAAATCCCACCACCATAAACATTCCTAAATCTCAGTCAATGAAAATGATGTGAATGACAAAGATTCTACAGATAAACTAGATGACGAGTTGCTTAATAATTGTCCTATCTCAAATAAAGAAGATATCCATTATAACCTTTGTCCTGAGAACACTCTAAAACTCAGTGCTCGTTATGAACTGAATGTTACAAATATTGTGACACCTGAGACACATGAAGAGGGAATGAACTATTCTCAAGCAAACAACTGGAAAGAAGCCTTATATGAAGAGTTAAATACTCTCAATAAAAATAAAACATAGGATCATGTACCTCCACAAGAGACAGGTCACATACTTGGATCTAAATGGGTGTTCAAAGTAAAATACCTTCCTAATGGAAAAATTGTCAAATACAAAGTAAGACTTTTTGCTAAAGGGTTCTCTGAATCGAGGGAGTGGACTTCAGTGAAACCTTTTCACCACCTTCAAGACTTGACACTATATGAGACCTATTAACTATAATTGCACAGAGAAAATTGAAAGCCATGCAAATCAACATAAAAACTGTATATCTGTACAGTGAAATTGAAGAAACAATATTCATGGAAACTCCTCCAGGCTTAAATTATGCAAAAAATTCAGTGTCAGCTCAAGAAATCCCTGTATGGATTGAAACAAGCCTCTAGATATTGGAACAAGACATTATCTGTATTCTTAACTAGTTTCAGTTTCAAGAAAAGTGCCTCTGATTCATTCGTTTTTAGTGGTATCTGATATAAGAAAATATTTTTATTTCTATATGTGAATGATGCTCTATTGTTTTGTGTGAGGAACAGGAAATACTATTTGGAATTGTAGATGATCTGAGGAAGAAGTTTGAAGCAACAATTTGAGAAACAGGATGTTTTGTTGGCATACAAATTGATTATAAAGCAAATGGCTCAATTTTCATACATTCAGAAAGCTATATAAAATGTAGTCTGAAATGATTTCACTTAAAAGATGCAAAGTCCTAATACTGTACCTGCAGATCTGGTACAATCCTACGATTAGAATCTATGACAGAAACAGTTCCTTACAGAGAAGCTACAGGATCACTAACGTTCTTTGCTGCCACTAGACATCCAGTTATAGCTTTTGCTGTAAATATGGTTATTAGATTTCAAGCCAATCCTGGCTAAGTACATTGGAATGCTGTAAAATAAATTTTCAAATACAGAAAAGCTACAGCAAACTATGGCATCGATTATTCTCCAATAGCTAATGATACTTGCCATCTTCTTGGATACTCAGATGAAGATTTTACTAATCACATGGACACAAGAAAATCAACTTCTGGTTATATTTTCAAACGTAGCAGTGGTCGAGTAACTTGATGTAGCAAAAAACAATCAGTTGTTTCAATTTCTACCTCTAAGGCTGAATATATTACAGCTTCAATTGCAGTGAAAGAAGTATTTTCGTTGATAACCAAAGTGAACCAACTTCTGCAAGATGCGGAAGAAAGTGAAATGTGTAAAGAGGGTATTGTTATTTTCGTTGATAACCAAAGTGGCATTAAGCAGATCAAAAACCCTGTGTTTCACATATCCACAAAATATATTGATGTGTACTATTATTTTATTCGAGAAAAATGTAAAGACAAATCTGTCATTATAAAGTATGTGAATCTGAATCGGCAATTAGATATCTTTAAGAAAGCTCTACAAAAGTAAAATTTAAAAGATTAAGAGAAGTGCTCAGTATAAAGGTAAGACACTGATGTGAACATTTAACATATTTGCATCAGTTAAAATTTTCTTAAACATTAAATTTTGCTTTTCTTTCAATAATTAGTCTAGTTTTCTTGCTTATGTCACTGATCATACTTCTGTTAGTTCTAGCGGCAACAGGAGGAAGTGTTAAATCCAAAATTCCATTGTCACATTTTTTTTGTACTTTTAGCCACAGTATTATAGTCTCGTGTTTATATTCCAAGACTGTGTTTCAGTGGTTGTGTCGCCTGAGATTTTGTTGTTACTTTTGATCTACTTAAAATTTAAATAAATTTACTTAAACCAGTAATTTGAAGATGCACTTCAGCAGCAACGCTTGAATGATTAATTTGTCCTAAAAGCCGTCAGCTCATTTTTTTTTTTCTAACAAATAACATAAATCCCACAAACTGAGTGGGAAAACACCAGTTTACATGACACTAACAGTTATCAATTAAATATTTTTGAGGTGTAATTACCACTGGAGTAATCACCACTACCATGGTTGTAATTACCACTGGAACAGTGCCCCAGGGTCCTGAACTTAAAAGGTTCCAATTTCTCTTTTTCTCCTACATATTTGAATGTTTACATTTTTAATATGAGGTCATCCAGAAGACTGTTTAGTTACACAAAATGAAAAACAGAATATTTATCACAAAAACAATTCTGTTACTTACCTGAAACTTCCTTCACAGGGTTCATAGCCGCATTTTAGTTAAAAAAATAAGCACCTATAAGCACTTTCAAGCACATTTTAAGAAAAAAATAAGCACCTGTCTAATTACTTTATACACTACAGCATAACCTCAAAAATTAGACTTGTAATTTAAAATATGAGAAATGCAATATTTATTAAGAGAGGATAAGCATTACCTCAACCATGGAAAATAATTACTTTCTTTTCTTTTTAAATTTTAAATAACAGTTCAATTTACAGAACTAGTTTACAATGAGAGGAAAAAACAACTATGCAGAACTAAACTATATTACAAGATTTAATGATGAAATTTCAGTTCAAAATAGAGAAAATAAATAATAATAAGGCATATTTATTGTATTCAATTGGAACCTAATAATAAATACAATTTATTTTTCCACTCATATTGATATTTAAATCTAAATTCTGAACATTTTCTAAATTTTCATTGTATATCAGTTTTTCCTTAACAGATATTACAAGCAAAGTAATTTAAGTACAAAAGAGGAACATTTCTGAAATCAGAAGACAGAAATTTGCTTCATGCAGTCATTCTTTAACAGTAAAAGCTTAACTAACCTGCATACTTGGAAATTGGCGAATATTCGGACAGTCGAGCGTAACTTGAAAAAGAGGAGCGGAGGGTAGACTGTAGCCGCTCTTTAAATTTTTCCGCTAAATAAATGCTTTTGACATTTTGATATGCGCATCATATAAAAATAAACTAATGGAACTGAAAAATATTCTGCTTACCAAGCACAGTAAAACTCTTTTAATAGCTCATAAACAAATCTCGGACAGAACATCAAAATTAATTATCTCTGCAAAATATCGCAAGTGTTATTGCGCAATACATGCGCCGTAATTCTTCCCTACGTGATATTATGCAATTGGAATCAACAGCTGCCGGTGTTGGGAGAATAAAGAACTAAATAACTGGGGTGTTTTTCATTCTAATTTTCAACAGACGACGTTAAATTTCCGGAATAGAATCATTCTTCGCTTGGGTTGGTAGACCGCAGAACTTTTAGTCCTATTCAATCCAGATTGGAAAGTGACGACAAAAAAAAAAAAAAAAAAAAAAAAAAAAAAAAAAAAAAAAACAAAAAAAAAACAAAAAAAAAAAAAAAAAAAAAAAAAAAAAAAAAAAAAAAAAAAAAAAAAAAAAAGAGGTCCGTTGCTTGTTTTGCAGCGAACTGTAACAGTTCCAATATTCGAGATTTTGCGGAGAAAGGGGAGAACCTCCCAATCTTCGTACTGTATAATGTATTGGCCAAAAAAACAAAATTTTTTTGACTATTTGATTACTTTCCCTTTATTTAAGATATTCTGAATATTATTCCTTGGAAAGCTAATCTGTGTTAAAACACAACCATTTTTGAAAGTTTACTATACTTCAGCGGTTACTGCAACTATGTTATTATAAACATTCATACATATGCTCATAATATAAGCATAATGATCATAATAAACACGAATATGAACTGACCAAGCAGAACGAGATGCAAATTATTAAGATCTTGATAGAAATTCAAACGTGTGTAGTATTTGGGTGGGAGGAAAAGAATGCCGAATGTACTGGAATTTTCTACTGCTTTCGCATTTCTTTGACCAATAGAACGACGGGCACTTGTCTGTACTCTTCGTGCACACCAAAGGTTATGTTAATGCAGAGAAAGGAGAAAAGCTATTTCCGGGAGTATGATTCACCATCTGACATTCCATATTAGGAAGAAAAGTTGTTTATTTAGTTTCGGCTTTGGTACCGGGGAAAAATAGCGCGTTCATTTAAAAAAAAAAAAAAAAAAAAAAAAAAAAAAAAAAAGCACTAAAAGCAAAAAATAAGCACTCAAAACAAAAAAATAAGGGCTTTAAAGAAAAAGTAAGCACTTATAAGGGCCTTTATATTTTATTTTCAAATATAAGGACTTATAAGCATTTATAAGGACCGCTACGAACCCTGCTTCATTTCTGTACCTAATCACCTCCTACATTGAAACATGTCATACCTGGTCATTGTGCAAGCAAGCCTCCACATTTATTCAACATCAAGTCTGTTCACTGCGACCGCTCAGTGACAGAGTGAGATTGACCACTACAACCAGTTTTCTGTCTCTTCTGCTGCTAGACTACGAAGGGGTAGGACCGGGTTTCTGTCCGTCCTCACCGCGGTTGATGCATGTCTGCAATTTGTTCTTTTTCGCGCCTTTCTGACGACTATCTCCATATAGTTTCAAGAGAATGCATTTTGTAAAAAAAAAAAAAAAAGTACGTTGTATGAAGATTCAACTAAATTTATCTAGATGCTGACTTCTGCGGTAAATTAATGATGTTTTACGACTTCAGATGTCCTCGAAAGGAATTCATGTGCACGTGTTCCATCTTGGTGCTAGAATTGTGTTTCCACAAAAATATATTGGAATAATAAGTCAAATCAATGTCCTTCGCTATAAAAATTGAATTTTGTTATCATGTAACTTTGTGTAATGAAGATGAAAAGAGATTTACTTAGATTGGAATATTACGCATTTCGTGCACGAAAGGTTAGGACTCAAAATGGTAGGACTTCTTACTGCTGCCGTATTTCACGGTCTATTGTCTTCTGTCTGGAGATGTTTTCTTGATTTATACCAGTATTAATTTAAATTTTCACGATGTCAAGATATAATAAATTTTTCGTAATTCACATTATTTGAAGTGTCATCCTTTGGGGGTAAGTTACTTTAATTCCATATTTTTTTTTTTCAGATCACACATTTCATCCTGCACATTATCCAGTATTTATGGGTTATTGTGGACACCACCATTTATCATCACATTTGGCACATCATTTATTATTACAGTCAGAAGCTTCAGAATTCTCATGTTATACTCTTCAGTAACCAGTTCATTAAACCAGGTGATTACTGCATTCTCCATCTCTTTATAACTTATGAAATGTTTACCACCAAGATATTCTTTCAGCTTAGGGAAAAGGTCCCCCCCCCCGGGGATCGACACACAGTACTCTGTGAAGTTACTAGATAAGGATTTGTACCTAAGCAGTCTCGGCCATGGGGGGTATCAAAATATTGTGCCTGGTGGTTCCCTACGATTTATGAGGAAGGGATTATCCTGATCTTTCACACGTCTGGTGGGATAAATCCCTGTTAACTAGGCTGTCAGTAGCAAAATAGCACCTGGGCCATTGAGCGTCCAGTCCACGCTGTCGGTCTGTCTATATAGTACTGGTAGGTAGCACTTTAGATGACCAGTCATAGCTCCAGGCATTCAGCACAGCCCGCCATGGTCTCTGTTTGCTGGGGCAGTGGCCTTAGCTGATCAATTCAGCAGTGGGTTTTGGAAATATTTTGATGCTATTGCACTCAGGGATGTTGGCTCAGTCTTCAGTAGGAGTGTATTAACCACCTCCAAGGTGGACTTTCACTGGAATGCCCAACCCATGCCTAATATCAGGATTCCCAGCTGGGTCCAGTCCGCGTAATGTCATTTAGTTGACAAGGCACATATACCATTACCACTACGGAAAAGTTGGAAATCACTAGAAGCAAGGTCCGGACTATAGGATTGTATAATCAAAAATTTCTCATCTCAACTGATCGAGCAATTCTTGAGTTGCTACGAAGGCATTGCTATGAAGAAGCACAATTCCTCCAGAAAACATTCCTTACCTCCTCTTTTAGACGGCTTGTCGAGTTTTTATAGTCTCACAATAACAATTTGCACAGGTCATAGTGCCTTATGGCATGAAATCTACGAAAGGAACACCTTTACTACCACTAAGAGAGAATGTTCCAATTTTCTCGATTTTTGGGGTGATGAGGGATGATGCCACTCAGGTGACTGATGCTTGCTTGCTCTTTGGGGTCATGTGATACACTCAGGCCACACCATCAGTCACAATCTCATCAAGAAAGGCCTCTCCATTTGTGTAATATCGTGTCACAAATGTCAATGCTGAGCCCATTCTCGAAGTTTTGGGTGAATAATTCAGATGCCACCCATTGCACAAAAATTTTATTGTAGCCATGATGTTGCAACACACTTTCACTCAGAAAGAATGACAGAGGTCTGGAAACATGTGCAATTTACCATGTCTTACAAGAATCTGTTGTTCACTGCAGTCTTCAGGTCTGGCCGCAGAAGATTATAGCATGAAAATTCCGAAGCTTGTGAACAGATACGATAAATGTTTAAATGAAGGTACTGATTCTATAGAGACATGATAGAAGCTTCAGATATGCAACAGAAATGTTTTTGCCAACAAATATAGTGAATTTCATTTTGTATAACTAAACAGTCTTAATTTTTTGAATGACACTCATATATTTAAAATTTTCACCACACCAAACCAATAATAAAATAAAACTTGATTAACTAAAATATGTTAGAATAAGAAATAAAGGAAAAAAGCAAACCTGGAATTCAATTTGATTTTTCAATGATGTATGTTTTTCAGATTCTGAAGCTGTTTCAGTAAGGCCATTCATTTCCTTCAAATAATCTAATGCCTATGATAACAGAAACAAAAGTAAATACACTTGCAAGCATAAAAGAGTTAAATGCATAAAACTGCAAGTAATGCTTACTTTGCACTGAGACTCTAAGTTTAGTTTTGTTATCTGGTCTTCATAATTGCTTTGCATGCGTTGCATATTTTCTTTTAAATCTGCAATTTCATCATTAAGCACTTTTATTTTTTCTTCATATGAGTTGATATTAAAACTCTCTTGGTCCTTTTCTTGCTCCATTAAATCTTTTTGCATTTCAATGCCAACTTCCGCAGAAACACACTTTAAAATTATAATATTATTAGCATTAGAAATACAAAGCTTTATTATAACAAATATATTCCATAATTCTACATTTTCACGTAATAATTATAATTATCAAATGACTGCCGTATTTGACAGCATATAAGACGCACTTTTTTCCCTAAATTTGGTCTCAAAAACGTTACCTGCGTCTTATACATGAAGGTAATTGCATTCAATAATTCTTTATTTGGCTTTTACAAAACGTGAGAACTAAAAGAAACTATGTTATTGAAACTTTTTTTCCTTGTGTGTGGCCGTTTAAATAAGGGTGCGTCTTACATGCCGTCAAATACGGTACTTAATAAAGGATTAGTGGCCTACAGGTTCGTGGCCAATATCTTATCTCACCAGCACATGTAACTTCAAATAAATGTTTTTTGAAATAGGTATGGAATACATGATATTAAGAACAGCTTTTATTAATTCCAGTACAGTCAAAAGTGTTTAATCCGGACTTGTCGGGACTTCGGCGATTCCGGATTATCGGTTTTTCCAGATTATAGATCATCAGTTTAAATCTCGTGAGATGGCATGCAGAAATTATAAAATTAAAAATATGAAACCGTACTTTATGAAATAAAGAGCAATTATGATCTAAAGGGTATCAAAATTTACAAAAAAAAAAGCTTAATATTTATTTGTTTACTTTATTAAACATTTCTTTCAATGTGTGCATGCGTAAAGCATACATTACACATAGTCGAAATTAGAAAATTGCAACCAGAAAACTATTCGATGTGTATTCATGATATTTATAATGACGAGGAATTTGATTTAAATCATATCAAAGAGTACATCGAGATGAAATACTACATTTAGTAAAGAATTATAAGCCAAATAAAATAAAAACATCTGCTCTGAAGATAAGGATAGTGCTGACAGATCAACTTCCAGTTCATTGCGCGCCATGACCAGAGCAGCGTGAAATTGATAAACAGTTTTCGAAATGGTTAGAGAAACAAAAGATATGAGCGACTTCACTTTTTGCTTGATGGACATCGAAACATGCTTTCGCTTTGTAGATTCTTTGGCAGCTCCAGAATCGGAAATTCTTTTTGACATAATCGAAATTTCAAGCTTACTAACAGTCTGCAAAAAATAATAAGCTGGATCCAATTAAAAGATTAAGGAACAACACAATCTGCAACATTAAATGAAATAGATAATTAGATAATTTAAGCTTATACTGTTCATTATACATTAAATGCGCATGTGTAAACGTATTATGCACATGTGTAAACATTTTATGTGCATGCGCAGAAAGTTTGTAGCTTTGAGGTCCGAATTATAGATCATTCCGGATTATGGACTTTTGACTGTATTACAAAGTTGTGTATTAAATTACCGTTTACATACAATTTAAATCATTAAGAAGTCCATTTATTACCTTTAAATTGCTTACTGTTAATTTATAGTTGAATTAAGGATTAATATACTGAAACTGCTTTTAAATAAACTGTTAAAGTTTTAAAGATAAAATTATGCCCCATGCATCTTATATCACTTATTGTTTCAAAAAGCACCAAAAAATAGCCTAATAGGTGTAACTGCATACATAGACACTATATATTAATATGTCATCATCCTGGACTTTTAAGAGTTGTTTTTATTGGTAGATGTTTTATTGGCAATACAAAACATCATAAAAAAATCAGAAGTTATAAAAAATAATATCCATTTATTAAGCTAGGCTGTTATATTCTGTTAAAAATTCAATCTGCAGAGAGTAAAGAAAATGTTTTGATTTGAATTAATTTACTAGGATACAAGAATTTTTACCCCTCTTAATTTTTTTCAAATTTTTAAAAGAAACTAAAGTACAGTACCAGCTACATATTAAAATCACTTCTATTTCAAACATATTCGAGTTTATTAAGCCGTTAAGTTTAAAAGACGGCGATTTGTATACTGCAAACTGTTGTAACTATTTCAACTTTTCAAGTAAAATAAAAATTAACAATTAATTCAATAATTAACCCTAAAACAATAATAAAAATTAAAGCATAAACAACATCGATATTGACAGACACATAATTGTTGATCAAGCTAAAACTGTTGAAATCTACGGTTTTGACAAGTGTTCTGAATGTTGTTTCGGAGCAGCAGTTTATATGCAAGCCCATCGATTTTTCTGGGAGAACATTGGTTCGGTTAATCTCGAGCAAATCAACAGCTGCCCTCTTAAGAACCTGATTCCCGGGCTTCAGGTATGCGCTGCTGTCTTATTATCGAAGTTGGTGAAAAAAGTCTTGATTGCCTTGAAAGTAGCAGTGACTCATGTCTACTTATGGACAAAGTCAATGAGAGCCCTCACATGGATACAAAAGAAACTTTACAAATTAAGACATTTGTTCAGCATAGAACGCAACAATTCAAGAAATTTCATTTATTCAACAGTGGCATTGGATCAGAATTTAGTGGATCTCCTGTCACGGGGCGTAGATCCCCGCAAGAGGATAAGATTAGATAAGCTAATGCATCAAAAATTGTGATGGTGTGGTCCAGTGTTTCTGGTGGACAGTGACTATCCAACTTGGATGGAAATTATCTTGGATAAAAGTGAAGAGCTTAGTACTAAATTCAAAAACTCATCTCATAATGACGCTAAAGACACTTTACCAGTGTTGAATGTCACTGTAAAAGATTTTTTATATAACTTACTTAAATTGAGTAAAAATTATATAACTATTTTACATGTTAGTTATATTTTCAGGTTTGCGAATAATTTTAAAAAGCTCTAAAATTATCAGGACCAATTAGTCTGCAAATAGCCAAAGCAGAATTGTTGTTGTTACGAGAAACCTATAATGAATGCTTTGGCGAGGACATCTGCCAATTAATAAGGCATAGAAACTGTCTTACACAAAAGTAAGTTAAAGAATTTGAATCCCTTCCTGGATTCTGATTTTGTTCTCATAGCATGAGGCTGTTAGGTAAGACTAATCTTAATTTTTTTGCTAAACATCCGGTAATATTACCTAAAGTTTATACATTTACGTTATTAGTTACTGAACATTAGCACCAAAAATTTTTGCATGTTGGTGCAACCGCATTATTGTGTCACACGTGCGAAAAGTTCTAGCCATTAAATGGTCGCTCTATTTGTCGGAAAGTTGCACTTGATTATACTGTAGGTTTTAAAAACAAACCAGTTGTGTGTAAACCGGGGCTGTGGAGTCGGAATCGGAGTTAGGCAGATTTTTGGGTAAAAGGAGTCCGACTCCAGTTTATGTTGGATAGTTTAAATTTGAAATGAAATTAAAGTGAATTGAAAAAAGATTTAATAACAAACTGAGTTATTATTTTTTATGGACTATATACATTAATAAATAGTTATTTTATATTTTATTGACATATTAATAAATAAATATAAGGGAGGAGGATGGATGTGATATTTGCCATTATTGATTAAACTGTTTCGTTAGTTACAATTTAGGTAAGCAGCAAGAACTCCCAAAATTGATGCCATTCTTAGGAAGTGAGCAGGAAAAGGAGCAATTATTTATCAAGGAATGTGACGGGGAAGTACATATTTGACGATACAGATGCTGTTAGAATTAAAATCTTTTTTGAAGATGTAGATAAACCTAATGTTTCACTAACAGAAAGATTGTGAAATGATCTTGAAGAATTGGAAACACTTCTTTCTACACTGAATATAGCCACAAAAAAGATACAATCTGAAGAATTTACAGGAGGCGAGAATGGAAGAATGTGATGTTTGTTCTTTCTGAAATGAAGGGTTTCTTGTAGAAAGAATCATTTCTTGAACGAAGAAAAGAGAAACTAGTTTGCTAGACAATGAGATCTTGCTACGTTCAATATATGTAAATCTAAAACACCGAATTTTGTTGGATAAAGAACATATTAAAAAGGCAAAGAAGCCATCTATGAACTTTCATTAAAAATGAAATTATTCTCAGAACAACTGGAGAATTCGAATTAGGACACTCAAACTGAAGACATTTTAATTGAGCCTCTGTTATCCTCTTCCAGTGATGAATTAGATTTTGAGAAATATTTTGGAATAATATTGAAAAGGCAAAGTAAATGAAAATAAAGAACCAAGAGCCTTTAGATATAAAAATGAAAAAATACAAACAAGATGTCTACACGACCTTTGAAGAAATAGAGAAATATGATTGCGCTTGCAAGACACCTCTTTTAGAACTTATAAAAATCTATCCTGAAAAGTTAAAAGAAGTACCTCTAACAGTAACAGCTCTTCTTCCTACTCAAGTTAGTGTGGAAAGTTCTCAGTTCTGAAGTTTATCAAATCGGATCTATGGCCCTCCAACAAAGATAATGCCAAAGCTATACTGTTTCTTAGAAATAACTAATGCCAATTTTCCCATTTCATAATAAATGTTAATTAATATAAATAATTTGCTCTGCCATCAGTTTTTTTTCCTGTAGCATCTATTACTTCTTTTATATTATAAAAAAAAAGCTGCAACCCATGTGTATAGATATACACTCTTTTGCAAAAAAAATTGAAGCACCAAGAAGGACTTTTGCGATCATGACAAAATTTAGTACGCAAAAACATCTTGATCGAACACGCAGATGATCAAAGTTTCAAGGCAAAGGAACACGAATTGCGATCATAGCCTGCATTTTGCAAAGTATAAAACCAGTAACAGAGGCGGAAAATTTATTCTTTTTTGTTGCTGCCATTGTAATTCCGTAAAGAAACAACTAAAGATGCCATTACAACAATATTGAAGACCTTACAGACAATTAAACGATTTTGAACGTGGTCCCATTGTAGAGTTGCATGAAGCTGGGTGGTCTTACCGAGCAATAGGCCGCCACCTGCAGCGTACAGACTCTGCTGTGCAAAGATGTTGGCAGCAATGGCTGCTAAAAGGAAACGACAAAATGAAGGCTCTGGGAAGGCCAAGGATCACAAATCCGAGGCAAGATAGGATGATTGTTCACCAGGCCCGAACCGTCTCAATGGTATCATTGCTGAC